AAATCCTGCTCTGGGCGACGGTCAGCAGTCCTACCTGGTCCACGTGGATGTAGTAGTAGTGTGAGGTGTGGTAGATGGCTTTGAAGAGACGCTGGAACTGACGCGAGGCTCGGCCGTGGACGACCAGGACGAAGGCGATCCGTACAGGCAGAGAAGCATCGGAGGCGTCCTCGTCCCACTGCACGTTCACATTAGCTTTACCTGGACAGGAGGAGGTCGGTTAACATCTCGCTGATAAATCCATGAATCTCATCCCATCCACGTCACACTAGCAGGTGAGTTTCATGGTCTTATGAATAATAGTCCTACTACTTCTCTGCTTTTTGATGCTAAGATGGTTCAATTCAGACAGGTAAGGTAAAGAGGGCTGTGTTTACTGTCAGTCATACAAAGATAGACCCCAAAAACACAAACATGGACCTGGAAATAAGCAGAACCTTTTTAAGACATCAGTGTCACTTCTAAGCCCATTCCTCACTCCAGTTCTTCACTTCCGCCTTTCCAAGTCATGCCGTCTGCAGCTGGTCGAGCCAAATCTTGTACATACAAACGCTCTGACAGCCTAATGCCTCCTCATCATCCCGCTGGCCTTGGCTTGCTTGGCTTTAATTAGTGACCTTTTTGGGCCATGGAGCATGCCGGGATTGGAGTTTGAGGGGGGAATGACAGTAATCAGGCGGCTGAGTCGAACGCAGAGGCAGAGATGCGTCAAACACGCCCAGGGACGTGCACAGAAACACCAAACTCCTTAAAAGACCGAACGCATGCTCTGCAATCTGAAACCAAACCCCTGCCCGGCTTCACTCTGAGGATGTAACCACTGGCGTGTCATCAAAACAACCTATAATCATATAAATTAACCCTCAAACGGCCCTGAGTAAATCATTAGTCAGCCTTTCCAAAAATAAGACTACAAACTGCTTGTTTAATTAGGGTGTAATTATGCTGGATGAGCATCGTCCTCCTCTGTGTCCATTCATGCTGCAAGTCCCTGAAAATAGAGCTGGCACCCGTGAGGGATGCCTCTTTGCATCTAAGGCACGTGCTCAGTTAAAAATGTTTCTGAAAGGGTAAATTTGGAAGGCAAAAATCCCTTTTCCACTTACTGCAATCTGCCACTTCAAAGCAGCCACTTGTTCATGTCCTTTCTGTCTTTAA